ACTGGTCCCAGCCTATACAAGTTGTTAACTTTTTCAATTAATATGTCCAAATAATATTGTTATAAAATTCGCTTTTCTGCTATACAGTCCGTATCACTGGATCGTGGATATTTTTGATCAAGAGAAATACGCTTCAAAGTTCTTTGATTTACGATTACATTCCTTAACAGTAGTATTATTCACAATTTATATTGGCCGTACTCTCAACTCAAATGTTCTTGCCTGACTAGCTGCCCTGCCCCTTCCACAAATATTCTAATTACATGCATTTCTACAAGCATGTTACTATACCCAAATTCATAGTTTTTATATTTAATCCGTGTCTGCTTTTACCGCTAATCGTTTTCATTGGCCTGCAGCCGCATGACGTTCCTGCGAATGTTCATTTGGTTTTTCCTTTTTTAGGGAATTTATTATTAGGGAAAATTACTTAGCTGGAATTAATTGGATTTGGGGTTTTCGTAACAATATATTCATCTGTTTTCGTACATTGAGATGCCATATATTAAGAATACCAAACATTTTTCGTAGAAACACTTTTTAAAAATAGGACGTTATACGACGAGTGATCGTAAATCTAATTTGATCAAACTATCCCGGTAAGTGTGACCTGCCCATTGCCCAATAAAATATGTAGGCAAATGGACAATCAGTTTTCAATCAATTAAACAATAATTTCGAATCGTTTAATATAAAAAAAAGCGGCTACGCCACGAACCAGCACAATCTTAATGCTACTTTAATACTAATGCTGTACGATATAAAAATGTTTTCTTTTCGTAAGACATCTGCTTTACTTCTCAATAGAAAATTGAATCATCGTAACAAACGTAGACAGAATAGAAGAAGAGTCGAAATTGAAACATGAAATAACTACAAAAAGGATTTAAAATAACAATAACATGTTTACATAGCATGTCGTGTGTTTCTGACCTAGTACACGTTATAAACAATTGTGTATTTAGGTAATTCCGCAAACTTAAAAAAAAATTAAAACAACGTCACCAACATAAAAGTCAGTTAAAAATTTCAAACGTGCTCTGTATACAATAAAGGCATAAACACTCTCAGTGCTTGTATGTATATTGGTAAGTAGATTATTCAATATTTTTATCACACACTCTTGTAAACGTATCGTTTATCATTAACCTTGAAAACTTTCGTATTCGTTCACATTGCGTGTGTGCGTGCCAGCAAATGTTGGTACAACCAACTATCACATTATCGTCAACATATCCACCACAGTTATTAACACCTTGCATTTTTGCGATTGAGAAACAATTTTTATATATTTTTAAATATATCCACCATCGCGTAATAAACGGGTATATAAATTTAATCGTTCCGTTAGTAACTCCCACAAATACAAATTGAAAATTCTATATGGTGCGTATATAATAGGTATAAGTATATATATATATACATATATATATATGTATACTCGATCAAATATCATAAATTCTGCACATACATGCATATAATACGCGGATCTAGCTATCCGGATCTAGCTATTTGGTGTTGACCACCAAAGTTATGCAGATATATAAATATCTATGGGAATAGGTCGTTCCCGTAAGCTTTCTCAGCCACCCTAAGTAAGCAATGGTAGCTAATTGATACCTACCACAAGTCTTAAGTTCATCGTGAAAGTTTTTATTTAGTTTTCGATATTTACATAGTAGATGAAATCTTAATATCTCATTCAATAAGTTCGTATGGTGGCACATAGGTTGCCTTATAGATCGCCAATATTGGGGAGTCCATATTATTTTTGGATAGTACCCACCTTCAAGGGAAATAACGTTTCTAAGTTACAGTCATTTTTATTGACGCTACTTTTTTTTTTTGAAAAAGTTGGAAAAAATGTAAATTTCGTGTGCAGTCGATTAGTCGATTAGGTAGGTTATGAGAAAGAATTGTTATGCTGCTTTCAATAAGTTACGATTTATAATAGGTATCGATTTATTTTTTTGTCATGATGGTCAATCGATTATGCAGCCATGCAACGCTCACAATTCACAAGAAACTGCTGGGTGTCTAGCATTTGTCTCGAATCTCACGCGAGCTTTTGTACTCGCTTTTCATTTTTTCTTTTTCTTTATTTGCTTACGAAGAAAGAAATGTAAAAAAATACCGGTTTAATCGCTTTCTATTTCATTTAGTATTGATTTTACTCCTTACGAATACTAAATTTACTAAATATATTTACACAAAAATTTAAACGTTTTTATAACAGAAAAACAAGTAGCAACAACACCCAGCACACCATTAAATGCCCAACTTCGCTTAATACAGTTATTCATATAATGACTTTTCGAAATAAGGCCTCATATATGGAGTGATCAAAAAAGTAATACAATTTGACCTATTCTCAATAGCATTCATCCTTGGGCCAAAGCTCGTCATTAAATTTCATCAAAATATCTCGTAAATTTACGACTGAAGGCTGCACCAAAAGGCCAGACAGACAGACAGACTCGCAGATAAGCTGACGGTGTGCCAAATATCATGAAAGGTAGATTGAGTGCAAGGAAACAAGACGGACAGACTAGGTGGATTTATCTCAAGTTTCTGTACACTTGTACCATAAATGATGAATGTTTTATTTATTGAAAAATATTTTAATTTTGAATAAAACTTTTTAAACCGTTGCATGAAAGCTGCCGTTATTTATAATAATATACGATGTAATAAATTTTACATTCTGTTAAAAGATTATCAAAAGACAGTTCGCAATTTTGAAATTATTCCAACAACCTATTGTATGTATGTGTGTATCGGAGATCTCAAACGTAATTATTACACAATCATCGAATAATCTTTATCTCCTTTATCCTTATTCTCCTCAATTTAGTTTACTCATGCATTGAAATACCTTCCCCTGAAAGGAAATAGAAGAAAAAAGCGTTGGGGCGTTGGTGCGATTATACTCATGTGGAAAGAAACGTCCTTGTCATAGAAACTTTCCTTTATTTTAGGTGTAGGACTGAAGTCCAGTCCATCAGCAACTTATTTATTTTTCCGAAGAATTGCGATTTTTTGTGAAAAACATGTATATGAAAATCAAAATATATTATAAAATGTGAAATATATTACAAATTTTGCATGCAATTCGATGGATGGGGGCGCAATTCGTTTAATTGCCATGAAAAGTGTTTATTTTGAGCGCGAAAAGGAACTGTTGAAAACGCTGCACAAATTTACGAAGCCTTGATCGATCTATATCGAACGAAGCCGCTGTTCAAATTATTTGAGTAATCAAAATGCACTTACATTGGTAATGGAAATAGCTTTCATTTGAAAGTAAAATCGTAGCATTTTTGCTTTAAAAGAAATGCTTTCGTTTGAAAAAACAAGAGATGCGTAAAATACAATGACAGCGTTTTTTGGATGCTAGATATTGAGTAAACGCCGACGTTTTGTAGTTTTCGTTTCTGCTTTAAGCTCGTAGCCCTCGAAATATAATTTGCCGTTAACAAATAATTAAATAAAAATAAAACCATATTTAGCGCTTTCTTCCCCGATATTGTAAAATTTGTAGATATTCATAAATTTTTTTTAAACAACAAGACCTTGCTTGGACATGGTATATTAAACTAATTGGAATGAGAATTTTTCTTCCCTATAAAGAGTTTTTCTAGCTGGATTTGGTTTAGTGTCGACTGCACGCTCCAAAGTTAAAATGCTTGTCGCTATTACTTTAGATCTAGAGGAACAGAAGTTATACTGGGCAGATGCGCGATTGATCAAAATGCAAAGGGCCAACTATGACGGTACATATCGTGTGGTGTTAGCTCATTCTACACCTAAACATCCCTTAGCTGCAAGCCTTTTCTGGAAATTTATTATTTTGGTCTGACTCGGTCGTTGGGGCTCTAGTGAGAGCTAATAAATACACCAGGGCAGGCGTTGTATTTTTCCGTGATCGCATTGATCGTCCCATAATCGTGGTTGCTGCACGAAATACTGTCCTCAATTGTGATGCCAACCAATGTAAGATTCTAAACGGAAACTACGAAGATGTTTGCATACCCAGTAAAAATGATACCGACAGTTGTCAGTGCACAAGAGGCTAGATTAGTCGAACCTTTGGAAGAAGCTCACTTCTTTTGCTTAGATTTGTTATACTATTTACGCCTATGTTGGCTTTTAAAAAATGGCAATCATTTCACGAATTGTTTGAAATTCCGTCAGTATCGAGGCATTTATAAAGATTTCTGATAGCATATACAACATTCAAAATAATTCTTGCCTACAACTTTTAAAAATTTTTACAATTAAATATATTAGCTATATCTATTTTTATTTTTATCAAATATTACCAATTTTTTCAAATAATCCAATAACACTAACTGCCGAAAATTTACTTGACCCTTTTTTGTACCTATCACCGAAGGACGAAGAGTATATTCACTTTGTGAAAAAGTTCGCAACGCCCAAAACGAAGCTTCAGAGACCCCACAAAGTGTATGTATTCTCAATCAGTATCAAGTTCCGAAGTGTAGCGTAATGTGTAGTACCTCTGGTAAGCATTCTCCCATTAGCGAAAATGAAGATATCGCCCACAAATTTACAAAAGAATTTGGAAGCGGCCTAAAACTTTCAAAGGACACCCCTACGACACGTTTACACGCATATGTAAGGAAAATTGTGAATACTTTTCCTTTCCCTGTTTTTTGTCTGTTTGTCATAAAGTCCATACACATACATCATATAAGTTTTCCCCTTTATTTTAAAAATCAAGAAAATCAGCCGCGCCCACCCAAATATTCTATATTATAAAAAATGTAATACTTTTCCTCCTTTTGTAGTCCTTTTAGGGATCACGGTGATAGGTATAAAAGATTCGATCAAAACTGCACAAAGCGCTCGGTCTTCGTCGAGATGGGGATAAATTTTTGCTTAAAAAAAAGAAAATAACACTTTAATCTTGAATTAAACAATATCCTCTATTCTAATAATAATAAATATGCATTTTTTATTTATTCTTTTATTTACAGCCTTCCTCGCGACCGGAATCCGATTTTACTTTAGATTTGCCGCGTGCCGAACAGTTACGCATAAAAATGGAAAAAGAGAAAAAATTCCGCCAAAGATGTCGCTTAATAACAACATTTTTAAGTTTAATATTCTTTTTATTAACTGTTATGGTTGTAAGTTTAGTGCTAACACGGGGTAAACGTATGTTTGGTAGCATGATTTAATAGACTTACTCTTCTATCCCTAACCCGTTTCTCCAACAATCACGTCGTCAGTTAATTCGTGTTTTTAATGCAGAAGTGCAAACAATAATAATATCGTGGATCACACACACAGCGATATTAGGAACATACCACATTTACCACCTATTTATAAATTGTATGATTAAGAACTAAAAGAAAACACAAAAAATCGAATTAAAGTGACGTACGCTTTTAGTTGTCTATTAATATGTTAATCATGTTATTTAATTTTTTTTTACTTTTGTTTTAACTCTAAACATCACTTTATATGGCAGCAGTATTGTTTAATGTTATTTATTTTTTGTGTGATAGTTAATTTATAAGTTTTCTAAAACATTTTTTTAATTTCATCTCAATTCTTTCATTAAACAAATATATATACATCGAATAAACAAGAGAACCCCAATATACAATATATAAACATAAGTAAATCTGTAAATACTACGAACAATTATTGATAGTGTATTGTCTTTAAAAATTGATCGAAAAAAATTCCTAAATATATAAAATATTATTAACATAAATAAATATCTTTTACTTACATTTGCAAATTTCAGAAATGCTCCTTAGAAGAGAAATCAATCTAGATTTCTTAGAAAATCGATTTTTTTTTTGTAAGCTCAATGGTTACTTGGAAAGTTTTAGAATATATCGAAGCTAATTCATTACTTGAAAAAGTTGTTTCTTTAAAATTTCAACACCTTCTCCAAGAGATCCGAAAAGGTCCGTATACAAAATGAACCCAAATTCTGGCAAATTACCTCTATATTTCTAAAATAAGCTATTAATTGCTGATTTATGTGTGTTTATGTTTCCTTAAAACCTTTTCCAACCAGCAAGCTTCAAGCAAGGCTCGACAAGGATTCGAGCAAGGCCCTGCTTAAACTTCGCTGCTTCAACTATCCTGCTCAACTTTGCCTTGTACAATTGTTCACTCGTTTTGGAAATAAACAACCAAGAATTACATATTATTTTCATGCGAAGTCAGGCCACATATGGTAAGGTGCCCAAAATGTCATATGACGTTTCCAAATGACGTCATCCAAATTTAGCAAACTTAATTTAATTTCCAATAATTTTGTTATATTTCGCGTTGCGTCATAAAAAACTAGACTTACTCTCCAAGTAGGAGCCTGTTTTTCATAATAGCCCTTTTATATATTGAAGTCTAAAAAGTACATCTATATTTATAGCAAATACTCTACCATCAATTTTTTTATAAAATTTTTGCTATGGCCTAATTTTCATCATACAATATTAAAAATTAAACCTTCTTCCGAAGGCCTCACTATTCCCGAAAAATCTTCTATGGGGTGGGGTGCAAGTAATTAACTCATGTGGGTCGAGTCCACTTAAACACTTACTTTTTATGCCAAATTAGTAACGTTGATGATCCTTATACGCGATGGGTATCCAAAAAATTGACCTGCATGATCGAAGTACGTTAAGATTTAATTTTTTGTCGTTCCACTATTTCGAAGCAATTTGCATCGTGATATCCAGTTCTGTAAGAACGGTCAAATTAGATAATAAATGTCAACCGACTATACTTTTTCATGCCAATTTAAAACGCTGAAATACTAATACTATTACTCAGTGACCGTTGTCAAGAAATTTTGAAGATTGCAAACGATTGATCTGAACGTTTCAATAACGTTTGTCCATGAGTTAAATCACGTCATTGTACCAAATCTTATCAAAATATCTCAAACACTGAGACGTCTAGGATGACCACGAATTACGCGGATAAACACTAGACGGACAAACGTAAATCTGATTATTTATTACCTTTCCTTTCCTTATATAGTTAAAATTTGGTAGAAATAGCATTGAAAAATAAACATGCAAATGTACAATAATCATGAAAATCAACTGCCGATAAGGGCAAGATAAAGACAGATTCTAACTTCGAAGAGTTCATCTGCAGAATAATATATATCTGCAATATCTCCTGTACGGAGACAACATTTCAACACAACTTGTCAGCCGCAAATTACACGTAACATAAAATCCTATGCGCAACATAGGACGCAATCTGGGAACATCGACATAAGCAATCAAGCAAAATGCAAAACAAAAGTAAATAAATAAACGCACACTCACTTATCCCACTTTTCCTCTTTTTCTTCTGGACTCTATGGCTTCTATTTTTAAATTGATTTTTCAAACTTTCTTGATAGATGAAAAGGATGCGACAGAGCTAGGTCACCAAAAGAAAGCATCGGAAAGCAAAATACTTCTAATGGCAAAACTTTGATTTGCTTCATTAAAACAAAATGAATAAAATCGGGCATACGGCTTTTTGTGACAAATCTCTTCGTAAAAAAAACACGAAACATTTTTCGCGTTTAATTTTCTGCATCCATTATAATTGTTTAGTAAATAACTGTGTATTTTCAAAGCAACAGGATGTTGGACCATCTCACGTCACAATTTAACATACAATAACTATCTGTCATAAAGCAGCTGATGAAACCAAGTTATTGTACGCAACTGGCAATGTTACAACAGAGAAACACCAATCAATAAGAATAGAAATGTAGAAACACTAATTATTTTTATTTGGTGAAAAGTTTCATAAATATTTTTAATCAAAATAACAAATAAAATCGAGCTTCCTCATTATTTATAAAAAAAATTTAATGTTAAGCTAAATGGCGTTGCTTCTAAAACAATATAAAGGAAACCACGACGATGGCAACTACAATTTATATTTATACCTATTGTGTGCATTACTAATGCAAATAACAATAACCGAAGGTGAAGAAAGTCTTGTGGCTTTAAAAGAGCAAGGAACAGTTAAGAAGCAACTAAAATATGATCCAGCAACGCAATCACCCTTCGTAGAAACGAATCCTCCTACTGACAACGAAAAACCTGTCGCAATTGAAGAAGTGAGACATGAAGACTTCGAAGAATCTTTTCCTTCAAAAACAAAAGAGCAATTTGAACAACAACAGCAACCATCTGCAAAAATTATCGAAAAGTTTGATGTAGGAAAACAGATTTCTTTCCATCAAGAAACTATCATGAAAGAGAACGAAGACATTTCAAATTCTTTAAAAGCCGGTTTCTACTTTTTTTTAGCCTTAAGTTCCTCAGCTGTAATATTTATTTTGTATAAAGTTTACAGGTAACAGAAATTCAATGTGCAATTAGACGAGATTTCTCAATTTCCCCCACAGGTTACGCTTATCGCGTGCCGAACGCAAGTACGGTGTGCAAGGCGATCGAAGTACTCAGGAGCTTACACCATTGCCTATGGCGATCGATGATGGCCACAGTGATGATGAAGATCAAACTCTCTTTGATGTTCAACGTCAGCAATTGAGAATTTTATAAATAGCTTTTATATGTATGTATACATATATATACACATATAATACACAGATAAGTAAGCCTACATATAAATTTTTTTATGAACATTTACAAATTGACTCCAGCAGTCATTGTTCGTCCTTAAAAAATTGTCATGATACGTTATCCTCTTTCCCACTTACAAACTATCTCAGATTTGATCGTAATAACTCCTAATTGTGATGTGATAAATAAAAATTATTGTAATAACGTAAAGCACAATCAATTTCGTTTTTCCATTTAAATAAAAAATGTAAGAACACCATCGTCGAGCAAGTACGCTATTAGCCACCCTACACCACTTCATCTAACGCGATTATTTTCTCGTTTTGGCAATAAGACTAAATGAAAATTATTCATAATTTTTAAGCAAAGGCGCACTTTTCATGAAAACCTGCATGTTAGAGAATATCCACAACTTCACTTTAAATGTATGATCGACGAACGCATCAGCCATCTCCTCCCAAAGAGTGTAGATCGTAAAGCACCTGTAACGAAGAAGAAAAAAAAGCATTCGTGCAGAGTCCTACAACATGCTTGGAAAAACTGTACCTCCATATGCTGCGGCCATTAAATTTCTATCATAGAGCAGGTCAAACTTTAGGTACTAGGAGGAGCCTAAAATATTTGAATTTATGCTGAGATGTTTCTCAGCAATCGAGTGGTAGATGATGAGTCCGTTTGCAATTCCAACTGCAACCTAGATATAGGTTATTCTCCAGCAGGGACCACAAGACGTTATTATCACCCACGTCGACGAGCTTCTTCAAGGCAATCATTCCGAAACACGAAATTTGGCAAGCCATCTTCAAAAGCTCCGAAGCTTTGCGACTTCACTTCCCAACATGTCACATAAGTGTTTTTACAAGCAAC